TTGTTGTTACTGTAAAAATGCTGCTGAAGAATTTTCTTGGAAAATGTGAAATATTATAAGAACCAGTTTTTTTTTTTTTTTTTTTGAAAACTTTCAATTATCAATTACTCGAAAGAGGATTGGCGTAATTTGACTCACCGTACGCATTGTTGCATCCCCTGACAAATATTGAAAGGAATGGCTTGTGAATCATTCCAAGAATTTTAAAAATAATGAAATGGTCCGTATCATTTTGTTTTCACTAGAAAAGCCCTTAACAGACTGACGTTAACTCAAAACCGTCATCAACTTATTTGAGGAAAATTGGTTTGTTGAATCATTATGCTCACTACCTGTGACGGTCAACGAATGAGCTTTCGCACATGACCATGAATAACTGTCACGAAGTTTTCCCGTTTGCTTAGCCTCTCTCAATGGCTCTTCATGACTTCGTTTTTCCTCAAACCTTATTTTTGAAATCAACTTTCCTACAAGACATGTGTTCACAAATAGTACTGGTAAAATTGCCTAAACAAATAGTGTGTTTCCCTCGGAAGATACACTAAAATGGCACCGTTTGTTTAATCCAACTTCCACTTCATATGTGTTTCAAGTCCTTGTTTGTGTCACGTTCAGAAGTTGTTTTTCGAACCTCCCGTCGTATGACTCATTCTGTACATTAAATTTTGAAGAGGAAACACGCGTCTCTCTCTACTTCAGACCTTCTCTATTTGCCTATTGCTCATTATCCTCAGTTTGTTAGTGTGAATGTGGCCTTTTGAAATAATTCTCAAAATCAAACATCATGGAGTTACCATTCTTTTTCTCGTAACGTTTGGGTACGCAGAGGGTCATAGATCCATTCAAAGCTATCTTCAATCTTTACCTCTGTTCCGTCACTTCCGGACCTCGGATCCGCGCTGCCAAGAAAAGCACTTGAATTCTCACTCACTGTTTTTTATTCTCCCCGAAACAACAAACAACTGTTGCCCTACACCTGCTTGCTGCATCGCCATTGCCGTGGGATAGAATTAGAAAATTACTTCTGAATTTTAATGAGTTTCCAGACCGTTTTCGAGCCCTTGATTACGAGAGCGCTCACTTTTAAATCCAGTTTGTGTAACTGTTCTTTGCCGTCATATCTACACCGCACTCAGTTTGCCTTTTTCTACGGTGAGATTTTCCGAAAACTCGCGGTTCTACGACAGTGTTGCCGTTGCGAGAGAGACCATTTAATTAAATTTTTCCGCAGACGCTCTTGCCATCGTCAGGAGAAACATCGCACATAGTGAGAAAAAGTGACTGGTATTTTGTGTTAACTAGACTATGCCTTCCGACCGCTTCGCGGTCCAACCTTCTGAAGAGCTTCGCGCCTCAGACGCTATGCGTTAGTCGTTACTCTTATGATTTCTCATCAAGAAGTATGACATAAAAAGTAAAGCACAAAGTAACATACACCGCAGTTAATATTTTCTGGTTCGTTTTTCTTGGAAACACATTAACCGAATCTCTGGGTTGAAATTGTGAATTACAAAGCGCCAATGACGTCAGAAGCGACGACGGCGGGAGCACCAACGCCCAGCAACGTGATCTTTAACTCATCACTGAAAAAAAAACACATTGGATCTAGAGTTCAGACTCTTGAAAACATTGACAAGAAAAAGGACTCTTGATTCAATCAGATTTAAGCTTAAATCAAAAGGAAATCCGCTCAAATTAAGAGGCTTGGTTCTTGATTTAAGCTCAAATCTGATTGAATCAAGAGTAATTTTTCTTGTCGATGTTTTTAAGAGTCTGGACCCTAGATCCAATGTGTTTTTTTTCCAGTGAAGAGGACCGCAGACATGAAATTGAAATACATTCATTAAACACTGGAAAAAAACACATTGGATCTAGGGTCCAGACTCTTGAAAACATCGACAAGAAAAATTACTCTTGATTCAATCAGATTTGAGCTTAAATCAAGAACCAAGCCTCTTAATTTGAGCGGATTTCCTTTTGATTTAAGCTTAAATCTGATTGAATCAAGAGTCATTTTTCTTGTCGATGTTTTCAAGAGTCTGGACTCTAGGTCTAATGTGTTTTTCCTTTTTCCAGTGATGAGCCCTGTCCACAACGCTCTTTTCCCATTTCCACGGCTCATGAGTGCCGCACACAATTGGCGCTTAGTTCCGTTCGGAAGATTATGAAACCCCGCTTTTCCATTTCTCCAAAGGGAATCACGCCACTTTTACACTGTTTTTATCCAGCTTCCTTGAGCGCACCCCTTTTTCCCACTCATCTATGGTTCCGGTTAGCAGAAATATGGCCAATTCGTAGTTGAAATTTTGGTGAGCGATTTCTTTTATCTCAACGATGCTCATCTACTTCGGGGAACATAAAATCGTGCCTACATAGAAAACAGCCGAGCGCTTCTCTAATACGAACGTATTAGAGCTTTTCTGCTTGTTTCAGTTTGTGTCGTATGGAACAGTTTATTGAGTGCGCTCCTTCGGAGCCCTCTTGACCGATTTCGGTGAATACAATCAGTTTTTCTGTGACGTAGCCCGGATGTCGTCCGCAAGGGACGGAACGGCAACGTATCAGCGATGATTTACTATTCAGCCCCGTTGACTCGGTTATCGGCGGCGTAATTAGGGGAACGTAATTAGGGAACAGAATGCAGCGCCGTGTAATTGGTGCGGGAAAAAATCAGTCTCTCGAATGGGACGTCGTTATAACAGTCGGTACACAGACACAGTACCGGGTCTAGAGTTTTGCCTTTGTTTGACCTTTCTCACTTCTACTGTGCCAAGGAAATTCGCCGTATGAACGCTCGAAGGTTGCCAAATTTCTTTCGAGAAAATGTTTATTTTGCGGGAAATAGTTATGATTATTTAGTACTCCCCTCCCCCCACTGGTACCCCGGATATTATTGTACTAGTTCGGCGTCGCAGAGCGCCAGGGAGCACTAAGAAAGCGGCTATTTTATTTATTTGTAACATACTGGTAGTAGCACTTACTTAACTCGATAGGTGGGTATGTACTCAAAGTGCTATAAAATCTGCAAGAATTAACTTACATAAAAATTTTTATAATTGAATAAAACAGTTTGTATGTAACTTGATTCTTCAACATTTTTTAGCACTTTGCCTACGTACCCACCCATCAAGGACGGCCTATAAATATTCATTACTCAACAGGGAATTTTACATTCATATTTTTCAGATCAGTAATTTTACCTTGACTGTATTTTGCAATAGGGAGCTCTTACTCGTAGCGCAGTTTAGAAACAACGTATGTGTTATTAATTTCTTCGTTCAGATTCGGTGATTTTGTGGATCAGCCAGAAAAAGAGCATCCTCGCTGCAAAATGAAGTTGAACTGCAAATCTTGTACACCGCAGAAAATTGTATTTTTCAAAGTTTTTGCAGTCAAAGGCCACGGAATTTTCTTTCGCTGGATGGCGACGGGAGAAGATTGGGAGGGAAGGGGGAAGAAGGAAGAGAGAGAAATGGGGGAAGAGAGATAAAGAGATGAATAAAGTTCATTCTGCCCAAGGCTGCCATTTGCTGGAAAAAGTGCTGATATTTTTCTGAGCTTGGAGTGCAGTCTAGAAGAATAACGACCGTAAAACTCCCATTTTTTAAAGGAAAATAATTCAACATAATTTCTTAAGTTTCCTTAGAATTCGCTTCGCACAGAGAAGAAATATCGCGGAAGTCTTCAGGATTCACGTTGAGATGTTCAGAATCTAAAACAAGCAGGAAGCTCCAACGCATTCGCGTCGGAAAGCGGCTCTGGCGACGGTAGGTAGTTGTTACGCGTTTACGGTTTCCTTGGTAACCTTTGTTTGCTATCAGCTGATGTCGAGTAGTATGACTAGGAAGCTCCAACCACGGCATTCTTCGAAAAAAGCGCGAAAACTTATAGATTTGAATTTTCAAATTTTAAACGTAAAGTACATTTTTTCCAGTGCGAGATTAAAGCACAGACCCGTTTTGAATTATTGACAGTATCACCATGATTCCAAAAATACACTACACAACATAGCATTCGCTCACAGGAAAAAGATATCAATTAAAATAAAATCAGTCCCCCCTAAACAGCAGAAAATGGCGCCGATTCCCATCAACCAACACGCGGTCTCTCCAATGTAACATGGTCCGTTGATACTCCCCAGCTGGGACCGTCCGGAATAGCAGCTCTAGTGCAAGCACCAGAGCCGCTAAAACGAAGTATAACAGGAAGTTTACACACTAAAAAAAGTTACGGGCTGTATAGACAAACCGTCCGTTCCGGGCTAAGAGGCCGAAAGTTCCAGGTGCTGGAGCCGTAGTTTCGATTGCTCTGGGTGCTACGCCCAGAACTTTCGGCCCTAAGCCCTGAACAAAGATGGTATGTCTATATGGCCCATGAGTACGGCTTCCACGGCCGAAGTTTTTTTTTTTTCAGTGCAGCAAAGCCGCAAACCGAGACGCGTGGCTTGAGTTTCGCCATTGATGTCACTATTGTGCTTTTCGCAAAATTAACTGTAGAAATAAACGATTGAATGGACATCATTTTGCAATGAGGAACTACGATTTCCGGCCCGATCGTAAAAACACTCATGTGCATAGGGAAACTAATGGCACGTACGTCATTTCTAAACTGAGTCAAATATTGTTGTTGCAAATTGCAAAATGCAATCTAATTGAAAATAGGCCTGTCCCAAACTTCAGCCAGGGCATACATATCGTCGCTCCTCTGACGTAAGGGCGTACCTTAATTTCCACGCGAGCCCTAATTTACATATAAACCCATGCTCTCTGGGGCTCATCCAGAAATCGAGATACGCCCTTACGTCAGAGAAGCGACGATATAAGAGTCGTTTTTTGTAGTGAACTCCTCAAAAATCTGTGAAACTCGCTACAGAACAATGTCCAAGTCCAAGGTATGCAACAACTTTTTTATATTCAGAATTATTATTTTTCAAATGAACCTGGAAAATGTGGAAAGCCGGCAACGACTAACAACTATGATTTATGGTTCTTCGGTTGCAGATGTTGAACTGCTGTATGCGGCGGCGCGAGGCCCGCGAGAAGAGTGTGAGCCAACCTCAAGAACTTAAAGGTAAGACCATTTACTCCTTTTATTATGATTAATGCTCCTCCGGCTCATCGCATCTCGGCTATTTCGCCGCCGAAACAGCGCGCAGGCGCACAGTGGATCGAGCCAATAGGAGAGGTCGGACAAAATTTGGAAACTTTAAACGCTTTTAACTCCGTTCATACAAAACTTCGAGGTTCTGAAATTGGTTTTATTGGTTTCCTCGTAAAATTTTCTACTCTCAGCACCCCTTGAAATTTAAAATGTGACAAAATAAACATGAAAATTTCGCAGTTTTAGTAAAAAATTTCATTTCCGACCTCTTTAATTGACTCAATCCACTGTGAGGCGCAGCTAGCAATGCATCTTGACTTGTCCGCTTTGATTGCGTGCGGTGCTCAATTTATAGGTCGGTTTCCTGATCGCAGGGGCGATTCTGCAAGTTGGCAACATCGCGGGCTGATAATTGAAATTGGTAGACAAAGCTATAGATACAGGGGAAATGTAGCTGTCCTATTGGTTGAAACAGGTGGCTCTTATAGACTAGGGGGAAATGATTAACTAACTATAGGCCCTTCCGTAGGTTGCCGTTAGTTAGTCAATTATTTATCTCCTTCGTCCATCGCAACCAATCGCTTTAACTGGGAGGATCCCTCCGTATCCCTCTCATGTTCTTTGTCTATTGCTTAGTCGATCAATTTCAGTAATTATAATCACCCTGCTGAACGCATGCCCAGCTTCCAGCGCGATCGGGCGGCCACGCCAAGCCGCCTATTTTCTTTACCTTTCGTTTGAGTCTCCAGGGAATACGACTTAGAAATGAAGCACGGAGAGTCTGAAGACATGCCTCATGCCTCACAGGTGCCATTTTTCAGTACTTGGTTGCCTTAAAGCAAACATACCCTTGACCCCAAGTGCCTCATCTGAGCGCTGATTATTGAAGTTGATAGACAAAGGGATAGTTAAAGAAAATCAAGATAAAATGGAACGATCCCATTTATAGTCTTTATCTTCTCCTACAATTTTGCCAGGTAATACGACATGGACGTGAAGCACGGGAAGTCTGTAGACATTCTGCAAGCGTCATTTCTTCGCACGTATGGTCTCTTTAAAGAGAACATACCTTTTTTCTTCGGAATACCTCAGCGGGCTGATTATTGAAAATGATAGACAAAACTATAGACAAAGGCGATACAGAGAAAATATAGCGATCCTTTTGGTTGAGACGGGTAGTTCTTTCTTATAAGACTAATGAGGAAAATGATTGACTAACTGGATTGCGTTTTGCAAAAATTAACCAAAAGCATTTCAATATCGCTGAGATTGTACAATTTTTTTCACCTTGCATATATGAACTGATCATCTAAACGAGTCATCATCTTTACTCTGTTTATCGAGATTGAAGATGATGACTCGTTTAGATGATCAGTTCATATATGCAAGGTGAAAAAAATTGTACAATCTTAGCGACATTGAAATGCTTTTGGTTCCTCTTTGCAAAATGCGATCCAACTTCAGAGTCTCCCGCAAATTGCCATTAGTCACTAGGAGGGGCTTATGGGGCTGCTTCGCAGGCCCTTATTTCTCATTTACACCTTTCCCTTCCACATGTTTTTTTTTTCTTTTCTTTTTTATTTATTTTCATTTAATTTTCTGGTTTGTCTTTGAATTGGTCCTAATTTTTTCTTTGAAGTAATAAATATAACAATTTTTTTCAAACATTGTAAGTCTATTTTGTAAACTTTAAATTTAATTTTTTTTAAACCTTCATACAAACTTCTTTTTAAGCTTTTACCTTTGTTTTCAAACAAAGTTTTAAGTATCGTTTTTCCTTTCTAAATACTTTAATCTGCTTTCCTTTTAATTGTTGCTTCTTCTTTTTCGATTTCTGCCCTGCTTTTTTCCCAACTTTTCCTTCAACTCCTCTCTTTTTCGTTCCTTCTTTTTTCTTGCTTCTTTTTTTCTTTTTCTTCTTCATTTTCTGCTCTCTCTTTTTCTTATTTCTTCTTCATTTTCTGCTCCCTCTTTATCTTCATCCAATTCTTCGCTTTTTCTTCTTCTTCTTCTTGTTTCTGTTCCTTCTTCTTTCCGTTTTCCGTATTTTCTGTTTCAGAAGTTTTTTCTTTTTCCAGTTTCTTCATCTTACTGTTCCACATGAATGTTATGAGAAAGAAAAATTGGAGGTTACTTCAATTAAAATCGTTCATAATATTATCGTAAATTTTTCAGAGAATCAAATTTTCACCATAAAAAACAAAAATAACTATCCTAATAACTAAGATTTATAATCAGAGACCATGGTTTTTTTTCACTAAAAAAAAAGGAAAATAGGACTACATAAAATATCGCGACGAAATATCCCGTAATTTCAATTAAAATCGTTCATAAAATTGTTAAAAAATTTTCAGAGAATCTGTGCACCGACTTTTAAAAGATATTGATTGATATTGAAGCATTAACTGTGGTTTGCAACGTTGCAATCGAGGGATCTAAGCAATCTAATTTTCACCATACAAAACAAAAATAACTATCCTAATAACTAAGGTTTAAAATCAGGGACCGTGGGTTTTTTTCGGTAAAAAGAAGATCAAAAGAAAATAGGACTAAATATAATATCGCGACGAAATTTCCCGTGACGTCAATTAAAATCGTTCATAATATTATTGTAAATTTTTAAGAGAATCTGTGCGTATCTTTAAATAAATATTGATTGAAATTGAAGCGTTAACTGTGATCTGTGGGAAAAACGCGGGAAATGAAAAATCTAAGTTGATGGCAGTTGAGTGTTGGAGGTCACATCATTTAATGATGATTGTTGAATGAAAACAGCAGATAAAAAGACAGCAAATAGTAATGTAAGATGCGTAGCAACAAAACTTTTCCGAAAAACAAAAAAGAAAAAATCCCTACTTCCCCTCATCCAAATTATGAGTTTTTAGGGATTTAAAAATCGGGGACAAACCCCAGAAAATAATTTATAATTTTCCCGAAGCATTGAGTACAACACCTTTCAAATGAACCAACGCCCCTCGCAATTAGTGCAGAGGGAAATTCACAATTTCATTCTATTTTTCAATTTATATATTAGGATTACTTACCTGCTTTGTCCATTTCAACCACCCAAATCCACCAACAGAATAGGATCTCTCCATTTTCTCTCTGTATTTCTCCCCCATCGTTTTGTCTAGAAATTTTAACAATCAGTACGCTTTGCGGATGGTGAGTTATGAATATATGCGTTCCCCGGTATGCTTGTTGCTTCGCGGTGAAATCGAAGGCGAACTCCAGATGGACGATGATCAGTTTTCTGGTAAAAAATAATAGCATGAAAGGAAACTAGACAACGTTTGATGTAGTTAAACTGATTCTGATGACGCCGTCTATTTCACGATTCGAGACAGGATTAATGACTTATATCTCTTAATACTGCGAGAGGAGAACAGGAAACAGGAGCGTATGCAACATGCTCTCGGCTCCTGCGAAAATTCGCTGCGAATAGCTCTGATTTCTCTTCCTACATCGACTTTTTTTTGTTTTTTGACCGAGCGAGTGACTTGATCTCTGATCATTCGGGTGCCCGATGGTGTCTCCGTTATTCATCATCCTTGACTGACTTGTGCGAGAAAGTCATCGCGATAAGTAGGAGAGAAGGCTCAAAGACCACCGGCCCATCAATCTTCCCCATCGAGCGGTGGCTTGCGGCCCCCGAAATTCGGGCGGCAAAATCGGGCGTGAAAATACCGCGTCTTAAGTCATTATATAAGACGGTATAAGATTATTTCTACTGCGTATGGAGCGCAGAGGGATCTGACAGGGTGTGTGCAAGTCCGGAATTTCCGGAAAGTTGAGGAGGTACTGAATTTCTCGGGAATGTACTGAAAAAGCACTGTGAAAGTACTGATTTTTGGTCAGCCTATGTTTAAGTAGACACCCTGTCTGACCAAACGGGTAGTATTTTCTGCATGTGCGCTAGGAAGCACCCAAATATTCTAATGGGCGCTTAATCATTCGAGAATTTTCAAATTTCCTTCGCTGAAATTTTTATTTTTATAGAAAGTAATGAATATTTTTCCTTTACATTTTCAGGAACTTTAAGTGAAATTGCGAGCAAAATTATCCAAAAAATTAAAATAAAAATATTCATAATTTTACAAAGTAATTCGTGTTTTATCAAAGGAAATTTGGCAACGCCTGAAGGTTTATACGGCGTTTCTCCTCGGCACGGCAGTACAGAGCATTGAAGCGTTAACTAAACTACATTTTGCTATGAGGAACCATGAATTGTGCCTCAGTTTAAAACCATTGTGTGTAATATTAGTTTCTGTATCCAGATAATTGCTTTTACAGATGGGTCGGAAGTTATAGTTCCGAATTGCAAAATGAAGTCCCACTCATGGCCGGATTTACCTACTTGCCGCCCATGGGCCGCCTGTATTTTGCCGCCCTCTTCTCATTCATTTTGAAACATCAATAAAACCCATCAAGTGAACGTGCCGGAGAGAAAAGGGTGCATAAGACGCGTTCACTCGTGTTGGACACATTTTTTGCGTAAGCCCTGTCAACACTACTAGCAAACGTTCACGGAACTTCGCGCGAAAGTTCAGTTCCGCGGTAAACTTATCTCTGTGGGAACAAGGCCCTCCATTTGTAAGAAATGAACTAAAAAATTAAGAAAGAACAAACATAAATGTGGTGCAATAATTTTAATTTCCGCCGCCGTGCCGCGCTGACCACACTGTGTTTGGGGCAATGCGTGAAGTATTCATGCGTATGCACTGTGCGTTTCACGCCGCGCCGGCCGACCGCTGTTGACCGTACTTTGTTTGACGCAATGCGTGAAGTATTCATGCAGTCTCGTAGGCGCTTATATGTGTTACATGCCGAGCCGCGTCGAGGGCTTCTCCTTTTCATCTCAAGTCCTCGTGATCATTTCTCTTTACGCCACGCCGCTCCAGGCCAAATTACGTGTTTGGTTTCTCTCTTAACGCAACTAATTGAAGGTGCGCATTCTTTTGTATCACCGAAATACGACAAAATTAGAAATTAATGAACTCTCAGGAAATGAGAGATTTTGTCACCTTTTCTTGTCTGTAATTTTTTTTCTGAATCCGATTTTTACAAAAATCCTGCATTTAAAAAAATTGCAAAATTTGCCGCTCCCTAATTATGCCGCCATGGGCCGCGGCCCATGTGGCCACCCCCTTAATCTGACCCTGGTCTCACTGAGGTTAAGTTTTGACTGACTTTATCTTTCACAGAGGAATTTGAGGATTCGGTGGAGACGCAAGAAGAGGAAGAAGAAGAGGAGTTTTTCGAGTGCGACACAGGATCGGACATCGGTGAATCCGGGACGCGGCGGTCACTGCGGCGCAAGGTCTCGGTGAGCCCAGCTCAACCAGCGGGACGCCTCTCCCGTCACGGGGAACTCAAGCTCATCGCCACCGGGGACCCCCTCTACGTCCCCGTCACACAGGTAATGACTCACTAAACCGCACGTTTATTATTTAATACTCTGGAAGTACCAGTGAGTAGATTACATAAACTTGTGAGAAATACAACTGCGGGTAGCAAGGCTAAAAAAAGAACACAGTTACCACAGGGTGTCTACAAGTTCGGAATCTCTGGAAAGTCCGGAAATAGTACTGATTTTCTAAGGGCGGTCCAGTAGTACTGAAAAAGTGCGGAGATTCAAAGTGAGGCCTAAATGGAGGGGATATCCCACCCTACCCTGAGAGTCCACCTCTACATCAAAACAAACTCTCCATGCAAAGATAGGGAGCAAATACATTAGCAGGGTTGGCGTGTTTTCTACACTTTATTGCTTTTTTTTTTTGTCTTTGGGGACTCCAAGACTGAAAACATGACAACCTTTCGAATGTATTTGCTCCCTATCTTTGCATGGAGAGTTTGTTTTGATGTAGAGGTGGACTCTCAGGGTAGGGTGGGATATCCCCTCCATCTTGGCCTCACTTTGAGAGCTTTTTTTGAGCTTGGGAGATGATTTCAGAGAAAACCAGTGGCACCATCGTGTTTCTCGCGAACTTTTACATAAGGAACAACAGTCAAATCGCAAATCCCTCACACATGCAACATCTCCATTGGATCGTACCCTTACCAACCCTATATCCATATTTTCCTGAACAGGACTTGTAATTTAGTCTTTCTTCCCTAAACTCACCATCTAGGAGCCGATCCCGAAATCGGAGGACCAGTTGGAGGAGGACGCGGCGCTGCTGACGGCGCTGGGAACGGACAAGATGGGCGCCGAGCTGCGAGCCCGGATCATGAGTGCGTCGCTGCTCTCGGATATGGAGGCGTTTAAGGTAAACACCACTTTCTTCCAGATTAGCTCACTCAACGGGAACCTTTACCAGTCATGTCCGGCTAATTATCCACTCAAATCGTGAGAAAACGCTCCCGTCTCCCATGGCGCATCCTCAAATTTTGGGTAGGGAGCATCTCTGCCGTACTAAGTAAACACGCTGTATTCGTGGAGAAAAAAACCTTGTGCGTGGGACCCGAAGTTTAGGTCATATGGATCTCTGAAGTTTTCGGATTGAGCATCTGAACACTTTAGGTCCAGCTACTGAGGTTTGGATCACACATCTGAAACTTCAGTCCTTACATCTGAAGTACTTCTGATGTGAAGTACTTCAAAGTTTTTCGGATGTGAAAACCGAAGTACTTCAGATGTAAGGACTGAAGTTTCAGATGTGTGATCCAAACCTCAGCAGCTGAACCTAAAGTGTTCAGATGCTCAATCCGAAAACTTNTAAAACGATCATTTAGATAACAGATATGTTTTTTTTATACTTTTTTTAGAAAAACAAAAATTTGTTCTGCTACTAGGGGGGTCCCACGCACGACGTTTTTTTCTCCGTGTACGCACTTGGAAGTTGCCGAATGTATTCTTTGAAAATATCTATTTTTGAAGAATGTTGTGAATATTTTTGTTTCAATCTCTCAGACTTACCAGATCAAAATACGAACAAAGTCGGATTTATAAACACCGCAAAACAAAATACGTGGTCCGGCTGTTTCATCGTTGACCTGTTTCTCTAGTCTCCCTGTGCGGATAGGTGCTTTTATATATAAGCCAGAAATACTAGTTCATAACGGCGCAGTTGAGTCCATTTCATAAATGGACTTCTAGGTTTGATTGTTTTTGTCAAATCAACTCTGGTAAAAATTGGCAGTAGAATCTGTGTTCCAAAATACCGTAGACCTACAGCCGGCTGTAAGATTTCCAATAGCTTCTATAGCCGGCAACACAATTTCTTATAGCCTTTTGTAGCCGACGGCGACTAAGCAACAGCCTGGCGATAAAGTGTATGCTAAACGTTACTAATTACGGATGCTAGGACTTAGTGAGTTTTTGGACTACCGCTCTTTTTTTGGGCCGTAGTATCTTGATTTATTTTGCGAGGAAAGCTCCGTACTTTTGAAGGATGCCTTCCATTCCTAACATGTTGGAGCGCCTGCAATTTTGTATGATACTGTGCAATACCTCTGGTGTGAAATAGTTGCTTCAAGCGCCGTGGTACGCTGCGGCGCGGCGCAGCGGGCGGGCAGCCAGCGCGAAACGCGCATTGGCGCCTTCAAACCTAACAGGGATACTTCACGCATTGTGGAATGCGTGGAGTATCCCTGTTAGGTTTGAAGGCGCCAGTGCACCGCCGCTCCGCTTTGTGTTAAGCTTTAATATTTAATCTCGTGGAGTCAGCGTTTTTCAGCTCATGACTTTGAAATGTTTGCACACTCTGTATGGATTATTATCATTTTAATTGATGAAAAAAAAAGATGTAGTTAAGGAAAATATAATGTGCGTTTTGTAAATATTAAGGTGATTCCGTCCAAAGCACACGAATTTCTACACAATTTCTTATAGCCTTTTATAGCCGATGGCGAAAAAGCAACAGACAGGCGATAAAGTGTAAAGCCCGGCGATAGGAACTATAGCCCGGCTGTATAATTTTTTATCGCTTCGTGTAGCCCGGTCGTATGATTTTTTCCACTTTCTACAGCCAGCTATATGATTTTCTGTCGCCTTCTTTAATCGGCTATAAGAACTTCTATGGTATTTTGAAACGCAGCTCCTATCGCCAATTTTTACCAGGGGAAACTGATACCTGAGTTCAGAAGTGTGTATTAGACTTAAATTTTTTGATGAAGGAAAATAGCAAAAAGCGTCAAATCAAAGCAGAGGGGGAGAGGGATATCGTCGCGTCGCTTTCATGACGCAAAAGTGTGAGTATTTCTGTTTCTTCATGAGCCGCGGAAAGTATAGAGTTATACGCAGCACAGGGTTCACGTGGAGATTAAAATACCGCCCGACGTCAGAGGAGTGACGTTGCCGCTCAGAATACTTAGTTTTAAGAAACAACCGTTCAAAATCCCAAATTGCATGGCCAAGGCACAATACTGCCGCATACAAATGCATCGCTACACCCTCTTTACGTTTAAAATGTGCTAAATAGCCCACACCTTATTTTCTCGGGCTTTAGAGAAAGTTCATTTCTCGCAAATCTTAAAATCCAATTTTTTCACCCGTCTCGGAAAACTAGAAATATTCCGCATGTGGACTTAAGTATTTTTGCCCGGGACGATCACGAAATTTGTCTTACCGCCTCATATATTTTTCATGGGTCCAGCGATAATAAATTGCTACCCAGGTTAAAGTTTTCCGCAAAGGAGCCAGAAACATTCAGGTGGAAGGGAAGGGGGGGGGGCAGGCCGGCATGGCATGCCGTTCCGGGATCTCCGAGATTTCAATTTTTTATTATTTTCCCTTAATCAAGATTCATTTTCCTCGGTTATTTTTACAGGCAGCCAACCCTGGTGCAGTGATTGAAGATTTCATACGTTGGTATTCTCCGAGAGATTGGATAGAGAGCGATGAAATTGACGAGTTTGGCCAAAAGAAAGGTACCTACCTCTCAATTCTTAGCAATTAAAATTTAAAGCACAGCATTTAAAATAAGCATTTCGTTCTAGCCAAAGCATTTTTTTTGCTCTGGTACCGGGAGTACAACTCCAAAATGGCAACATGTAAAATCAAAACTTTTCGATTTCGCCTTGTTGTTGGCATTTAATGCATTGCGCTTAGTTGAATTCGACTTGGATTCTGTTGTGGCCAGAGGCGAAAAAACAGAGCAGAAAATTTTTTGTGTGCACAATTTGTATGTCGAGCACTCCACCCGATTCGGAACGAAAATACGGTCAGAGTGTACTATCAGTGGCTCGTGATCAATGACGCATCTGGTACCGCCCTCTCAACCTTTAGAATTCGAGTATAAAGTTCCTTCATTTAATCAAGATGCAACATGTCATGCATGATGCTTCATTCGCTTTGGTAGAGCTCGCCGCTGTTCATTCATTCTTTCCGCGCCAATGACGAAACGTTCGTTGACTGCTTCGAACTTTACGAACCTTTTCTAGAGGCCAATTTTTTTACTGGCCTTTTACTTTCCTGATTTTGATTTTCTTTTTGATTTTTGTTACCTTCCGAGGATAAAACATCAAGTGACATGCTCCAATGAACATGTATTAGTGCTCAGCAGTTGGCAGGGCTTTTTTAAAATGTAAATCTTTTTGTAATTAGTAAACTACAATGTAGAAAAATGATGCATTCATTAAAATTCCCTCCTGTGAGTGCGCAATTTTCTGTACTATCAATGGAACCAAGGTAAAAAAAGTGGTAACATTTTTGGGAACTCAAGGTAAAATAGAGATACATATTCACAAAAAAATAAAAGTAAAATTTGCAACCGTTTTTGAAAAGCTAAATAATTTGTTACTGCCTACTGTTGCAGAGTGGTCAAGTTCCTCTGAGTTGTGTGTTTCGGTGACAACATGCCTCTCCTCTAGTCCTCTCCTCACTGTCCAGAATTCCTCACTCTAAAAGCCTCTTTGTGTTGGGGGAAAATATACATGTCTTCCAATTTTGTCAGCTTTTTATTATTTATAAGGTCTCAAGAGTCAGTTTTAAATGAAAGGCAATAACATCCGATTCCAATTTTTTCCAGGTCAACTAAGCGCACGGATGCAACTGCCCGGCAACACTTGGCTGGAAGTGTGGCAAACAGCAAAAGCAATTCCCGCAAGAAGACAGAAGCAACTCTTCGATGATGCGAGAGAGGCTGAGAAAGTGCTGCACTTTCTGGATTCGCACATCCTGGACTCTCGACCCCTCGCAAATTTTGCTCAACTTCTACTACCAACCCTCTCTCACGTTGCCTTGTCGCAACTTCTGGCACACTCCAAAAAAAGTCATATCGAAGAGCTCAATACCAGTTTGCGTAGTGTCTCAAAAAAAGCAGTTGCTCTGTCTAGAAGTGGAAATATTGATTTGAAAAGATATCAGGTATTTTTCTATCTTTCAGAAGTTCTCCCCAGTTTTTCTATCCACTCTACATGGATTGCATTTTGCAAAAAGGTACCAAGGGCATTCCAATTCTGCCAGGACTGTGTAACTTACGTGGCTGCAATGAAATTACTGAAATCATGAAAAAAATTAAAGTTACAACGGAAACGTCGGAAACTTTCATCTTCAATTTATAGTTTATTGGGAGTCAAGGTAAAACTTGTCTAGATAATCAGTTTATATTTGCAAGGTAAAAAAAGTTGCATGATCTTAGCAACATTGGAGTTCTCTTGGTTCCTTTTTGCAAAATGCAATCCACATCATTTTTGGTTTTTATCTTGTATTCCAAAATACACATTTAAATGGAGGACTTGCAGGTGTTTGAACTTTGATTCATTTTCTTTATAGAAAGTACTGATCGTGAGTGAAGTGAGTACAATAGTATCCTTAACTTCTGAATCGAGCAATTCTTGGAGGAATGAAGGTATTATGATAAGAATATCTAATCTACCAAAGTACATGTATACAAATGGTTAAAAGTGCCCCATGATATCATAAAGGGATAATTTTTTCACTTTGAAATGTATTTCTCCCCAATTTCCAAAATCTCCAAAAAATTGTGCAAAATTCTGTGAACTTGGTTTATCAAGCGTTCTCTTATTAATTAATGACATTTTTTGCGCGAATTCTGCATTTTTGAAAAATTATCTACTTTTTCTGTACATCTAATTACTCAAACAACTGGACGAAGCAGTGTTTTTTGTAAATTGAATTGTTTCTGCTGTAGCAATGATTCCTCTAAAAGGAAATTATTGTTTCTCAGCTGCTCAGATGATCTTTTCAAAAAGTCTTATCTTTGAAATTAATGAGCTGTTCTCATGAAAATATAGTTGCATGCACTGATGAATCATTTTTTCAATTATGTCTTGTTTGAGTTCAGAAATTGAGTAATTTTGTGTGCCTGTCATTGATATACCTAAAAACAAAAATGAACTTTCTTTGAATTAAAGGCAAACAGGAACTTGGCGTCAAAAAATTACGAGAGGTTGTCACTTTAAATTTTTAAAGGCCTTAAAACTTTTGTCAGCTTTAAACCTTCCGTAATTATTTATTTTATAAAATGAAATGAAATGAAAAAATAAAGAAATTATTTACTTTGAGGAAATTTTGTATCATCTAATTCCTCTTTTTCTTGCTCTTTAGGACCTAATCAACCAAATGGCAAATGTTGAAACTGTCATATCACAATCTCTCTCTCTACAATTCAAATTTTGTCCCAATGTGTTCCAATCGTGCAACGAAGAGGACCCTCCAGGAGATGAAGTAAAGAAATGCCTATCCAGTTTGCTTTTCAAACCGGAAACTGTCATTCCCAGTGGCTCAAGAGGGGAAATCGGATCTAGAATTGTCACAATGTTCACCGAAGCACATAAGGTATTCATTTTGCTCTTCTTGATTTTTCTTCAGTCACGTAACTTGTATCGTTTAAAAGAGAGAGACTGGCATGTATTTACGCCTAACCATTCATTTTCAATAGAAATTTTCTGCATCAATTTTTCCATGACTTTCCTCATAGTGAAAAGAAACTTACAGAATAGATTCAAATTATTATCTAGGTGGAGAAAATATTCAAAGAAAAATTGATATGTTCTAATGTTGAATGCTCTGGATGAATATCCAGTTAGCTCTGGGGCCACGGAGGTAGGTTAAAAATAAGGATGTTGACAAAATAGAATATTAATACTCAGGCTAGTTAGAGTTTCATGAAGCAAGTAGTACCATCATGAATTCATTTATTCCTTGTCACCTCCATTTTTTGATCGAGTGTCACTCTAAATTCACCAAAATATCTCTCAGAGTTTTTTCTGTAAGTTTTGGCTTACACTCATAATACCTACTTGTTGAGTCTATCCGGATAATTGCAATTTTATAAAATTACTATTTGAATTAATCGGATAACCACGTCATCTACTTCTAGAATGTTTTTCAAATATGTTTGCAAGTTGCCAGAGTGTGATCAAAGATTCATTACAAAAATGTTTGCACAGAATCTAAGGGATGGACGCAAACCCAAGAAGAACTGTGCAATGAAAATATTGAAATGAAACTGCAATTAAATGCAATACAATTGATTTTTTTTATCGTATGATTCCAATATTTTTACATCATTTTGCTCATAAATATCTGTTTTAAATTATCAATAAGATGAGCTCTGTGTATCAAAAAGATAAGAAACTTCAAGTTCAATGAAGACTTGCAACTTGCTTAAAGTGTATTGCGACAAAATTCAATAAAAAATGGTCCTTCAGTCAGTAGATAGGCATTACAGGTACACAACACTCACGCAGTAGCAGTAGTTTCAATTTTACCATGTAGTTGCAACTTATTGCAATCCGTGCCACTTGAGATTAAGTTGCGGAGAGTCTGCTTTACTTTCAAAATCACCTAAATAGAGCGGCTTAAGTCCTCTTGGTTTTCCTTAATCTGAAGAGTGTAACTTCATAACTCTGCAACTCAATTTCAAAATGATACCTTCCCTAATGCAATAATTCTACATCGAACTGGTATCAAACATTTTACTGTAAATTTTATCTCTCTTTCTAGGTGGCAGAAATGATATCAGATCCGGAGCCAGTTGCTGGTGAGCCTTGGGATTCAATGAGTTCATCCATGTGGGCTAACGCAGAGCATGAGAAGGAATTTATTCTTCGCTCAACAGCTTTTCGCCCTGCATCGTGTTCTGCACTAACTCCTCAGAGGCTCACTGTTCGCGTCAGCAAAGAGCAGTTTGCCATGGCTGGGTGCTGGACTCAAGATACTACTTTTCAGTGAATTAGCCCATCACAAACTTTAGGCTTTAATCTGCACCGGCCTTGTTTTAACTGTGATGTTTAATTATATTAGGTTTATTTATTCCTAAATTTTGTCAATTTTATTGATGCTGCCCATTTCTTGTGCTCAAGAAAACACAAGTCACAGTGCTATCCTGAGTTTTATCATCAATCATTTCATATGAATCAGAGTTTACTATTTTTAAGGAAGTAATTGTATTCCTCTTTTCACAATGGTTCATCAGTTTAAGTGTCAAGTTATTTGCCCTATTTTTTTTTGAAACAGGGTATCCACAACTCAACTCCCTGAAAGTTTTTCACATGCCAGGGTGCATATTTGTGTAAAAAAAAATTTATCTACACAGGCCATCTGTGGCTGGTAGCTTCTTTTATTGCAAATACATTCAGCAAGAAAACTTGAAAGTTTAGACACCGTTAGATTTTTGGCCAATATGCACCAGAATTCCGAATCAAAACTGAATATAGAGAGAAAAAATTCACACGCGCATTTCCCTCAGAGAGATAAGTGCCTAGCAGTATATCTTTTTGTTGGAAATTTTGCTTCCATGAATGTTTTCCCTCCATAATGTAATTTAAATTGAATTCTAGCACACATCAGCCAAAAAATCAATGGTGTCTAAATGACAAGAGCTCACAAGCCTGCTCATGGTAATTTTAAAGTTGGCTGTAAGGCATTCAATTGAGTAAAATAATCATGGAAATATTATTTAAATGAAAAAAATTAACCATAGGCTTTTACCAGTCTTAGTGCATCAATTTTTTGTTTTGTTCCTGCCTCAAAGTTTTTCAGTATTTTTAGAGGAAGTTAGTCAAAATTTTGGGAATTTCAGTCGTAAATTTCTGGTACCTTAGTTTCCTTTAAAAGGATTTGCATACCTGAAGAAATGAAACGTAATTCCTGCGTTTGTCTTCCTGAGATCTGATTCCGAAGCTCAGTTTATATCATTATCAGGGGTAGTGTAACTACCCTTTAAAAGTTTAAGCTTATCCACAAAAAAATTATCCATCTGCATTTTAACCGTGGAGAAAAAACTTTCTCAGCAGTTTTTAACCTTTACTATTTATGTAAAAGCATGGTTTTTTTTTCAAATTATGGTTTGAAATTTACTTTAAATCATAAAATATTCTCTTCGGTTGCTTTAATTTTGGGCAAAGTCATTTCTTGTCTTTACCAGAGTAGGAATGGCAAGAGGCAGTGTTGACACCATTTTCAAAAATTCAAAATAGTTTTCCTCATCATTTTTTTTATGTATCTTGAAACCAACTTTTCTTCAGAGCTGCTTTCTACCATACAAAATATTGCTACTGCAACATCCCCTTAATTTTTATAAAATCATCGGCTCATTCGATTTCAAATAATAGAACATTATATTAATCATCAAGGCAACGTCTTGTAAAATTTTTCAAAAACTACAGTGGATCTTTAGTGGAGTCTTTTGTCTGTCTTATTTTTAGGAATTATTGTTAAGTTTTATTTATTTACATAGTTTTCATAGTTGCAATGTGATATTAGGATGAAAGTATATGAACAAAAAAATCTATCATCAGTGCTATGTATACCTGAGTTCAAAATTATCAAACTTTCAGCTTAGTTTAGTCGTATGGTTCATATTTCCCCCAAATTCTTAGTCCAGAATGTGAGCTTGTTTACTTTCTTGCATTTAATAGTTTGTATTTCAAATAATTTACTCTGTAACAGTGACCGGATTTGTAAAGAGAGAACTTATATTTCAGGAGAAAATTTTCCTCAAATTTTTTTAAAAACATAGACCACCTTTTTTTTAACAACCTATGAATTTTTGTCTTCGAACTACAAGGACTCGTATCTCCCTCAATTCGTGAGCTTTTAAGGTCAAACTTATACCCAAGTTTTCTGACTATCTTCCTCCATACTTTTGCAAAAAGTCAAGAAAAAGGTTCTACCGGAAGATAAGGTCAGTTAAATTTTGACCAACATTATATCTTATTCAGCTTATCTGGGTGGCTTATTTTAATTTCAAATAAGGTTTCACACATCAGGTCACAAATATTTTTTAAAATATTTTTAAAGTGTACAAGCGCACAAATTTAATCGAACATTTCCTAATCTCTGTTGAATGCGTGACAAGATTAATAAAGTAGATTTTCACGCACTCAGTCATATTTAACCTGAAACAACCAAGGTAGTTACATTAGACTTTGCTTAATTTCCTCTCATGTTTTATTTTTTCAATAGAAAACAAACCGATATTTTAACTTAAACTTTTTTGAGAATGCTCCTCATAATCCAGGAGAAATATACAGAAAGTTTCAAGGCGGTATATCGTTTGGTTCTCTGTTAATAAATGTGGACTTGAGATGAAATCAGGCTGCAAGAAATGTTTTGAAAGATTTAGATTGATTTAAGATAGAAGATTAGATTGAAATTTTTAGATTGATTCAGGTCAAATATTTCCCGTTGTTCCGGCAGCTCTATGAATATTGTATGTGAACTTAAGAGCTCTGAAATAATTTAATCTTCCAGAAATGCTACATTCTGTTATGTATTTATTTTATACTTTTATTTTCTTAAGTATGTACCTAGGGAGTTCAGATTTGTTATTTATTTATGATTTCGTTCAATTTATTGTGCAACTGCTAACATAAAAAAATGAATTGCTAACATTTAAAATAAAATGAAAGGAAGAAAAAACTGTTGAAATGTGTGTATCTTCTCTCCTCTTTCATTAGGCAGTAAAAAGTTGTGTATCCTTATTTAAAAATTCAAAAGATACCACAGTTGTCATCTCTTGCACGAAGGAACAAATCTCTATGTGATGTTTCTAATTTCACACTGACATTCACGGAAAAAAAAATTGCTGATTCAACAATTCAATTGCTAAAAACAGCGAGTGCAATGTTTCAACGCAGATTTTATAACAAAAAAATGCTACTTTAACCACCCCCATGGTTAAATTAGTTTACAATGTGGTTAAAGAAGCATTTTTTTGTTGTAAAATCTGCGTTGAAACATTAATCTCACTGTTTTTAGCAATTGAATTGTTGAATCAGCAATTTTTTTTTTCCGTGTTTTATCGTTTTAGAGAAAAATTGTAATATAAATTTTCCAAAATTTGTTGTGATTTTTCCTCACTTTAGTAGGAGAAGATTTTAAAATTGTTAGACAAATACATGCATCGGTTCTCCCTTGAAAAAATTAAATCTTTGCAAAAATATCAAAACAGCGCCATCAGGATGTGCTTCTTTGTGTGGAAGACAAGCCCATAGTAGCCCTTGGCCCTTTGTAGCTTTGAATCTCTTTCTCTCTTGAATGTGGAGTAAAGTGCTGAAACGAATTTTGCCGACAAGTTTTCATCAGAAATCCTGTTTTGGCGGCGATTTTGTAAGTTTCACCTCCCTGAGTGCTCGACAGGATCCTCCATCTGCTACAATGATAGGATTTTTTTCGTAATATTTGATCAGGTCCAAAATTGAGGGGAAGCACTAGAAAAATAGAAAATATACCAGAAATACCCATTACTGCCAAAACCGATATCGAAACATTTACGTTAAAATTTTCACTTTATGCAATGAAGTACTGTGTCAATTTAAGAGAGGAGTGGACTCAGGTTACATAAAAATGTTGTCCTTGATGGGCTAAACCAGGATTTTTTGTGGTAGAGCTTAGAGGGGAATCCCACCAAGAGAGGGTCCATCTCCTATCAGGGAGGGGGAAGGGGAGAATTTTGGAAACTGCCTATAGAGAACTTTTAAGCTGTGCGCACCGAAAAATTAATCGAAATGAACTCTTTTAGGCCAGCGTGTTTTCCGAGATATGCTATTCGGCACTTTCACCATCGATATAAACTCATCAAATCTAAGTTTTTAAGGAAAACCTATGTGTTTGGCCAGACTTCTAAGGATGATCCACAATGATTTACTCTTTCACCTGTGACGAACATGTAAATTTTGGCTAGAGAAAAAGCATGCAAGGTATTCGCCATGAATAAGCATTCGCTTAAGAAACAGCTGCATTTTCAGAACCGGACACTTTCTTCACAGCACTAAGCAGATTGGTTATACAGGACATTTCGTCAACAATTTTTGTCCTCGCACCGGTTTTTTCTAGTAGTTTACTGCGTCCATGCGTGTTTTCGGCTGGGAAGTTTTGGTCCACTTACCAATTGAGACCCAAAGTTAATCGGTCCGCATGCAAATACAAATGACTATTGTTCACAACGTTTTTGGATGAAAATGTATTATGTCTTGGAAGAATGAGGGTTTGTTTGTGTGTTTTTTTTGTTTTTTTTTTTGGTCTAATGGAGAAAAGTATGTAATTGAGTTTTTTGGTATATATGGAGGAACGTCAATTCCATGAGGGAAAATTCACTGCCTCAGCTATAGGCTTCAAGATTTTGCCTGTGTACGATAACTTCTTGACGGCACCAGCGCGACATGTCGCGGCGCTTCTAGCTACTATTTTGCCACGGAGGTGTTGCACACTATCATACAAGATTGAGGGCACCTCAACGTATCATGATTGATGGCATCTTTCAAAAGTACGAAGTTCCCTTGCAAATTAAATCGAGTGACGACGATAAAAAGAGAATAGTCGAAAAACTAAGTCCTAGTATCTGTATTCAATAACGTTTAGCATGATTTTTGAATTTTATTAGAGGAAAAAGTGACTTGATTTAAGCAGAAATACGCTCAAATTGACCGCCGAGATATCCTCATGAATCAATACTTAAAGAAAATAATGCTTGTTTAAAGTACAAAATATACTTGTATTAAAAGAAAACTCACATTAATCAAAAATCCGCTTTTATTCAACTATTTTTTCTTGACTCAAAATAAAATCTTCTTGACGGCATACTTAAGAATGTTTTTGCCTAAATCGAGTCATTTTCTTCTCTAATGCAATACAAAAATTATGCTAAATGTTATTAAATGCGGATGCTTTGTCTCTAATACAATTCAAAAATCATGCTAAACGTTATTAAATACGGATGCTAGGACTAAATGAGTTTTTGGACTACCGATCTCTTTTAGTGCCGGAGTACCTTGATTTATTTTGCGAGGAAAGCTCCGTTCTCTTAAAGGATACCTGTCATTCTCAATAAGTTGGAGCGCCTTCAATTTCGTATGATACTGTGCAACACCTCTGTTGTGAAATAGTTGCTTGAAGCGCCGTGGCACGCTGCGGCGCGGGCGGACGACCGACCAGCGCATTGGCGTCTACAAACCTAACAGGGGTACTTCAAGCATTGCGCAATGCGTGAAGTATCCCTTTAGGTTTGTAGGCGCCAATGCACGTTTTGCGCTAGCAGCACACCGCTCCGCTGTGTTTGGTTCTAATATTAAAATTCGCGGAGTCAGTATTTTTCAGCTCGTGATTTTTAATTGTTCGCGCACTCTGCATGGATTATTCTCATTTAAATCGACGACAAAAAATGTTTCAAAGGAAAATGTGTTTTGTAAATATTAAGGTGGTTCCGTGTCAAAGTTAATGATTTCCATAGCGCATTAATTTTTTCTTTTATATATTGTGATTTTACTGTGCTACAGCGTAGTGTACGCGCAACCGAACACTCAAAATTGGACTTTTTGACTCTGAAAGATCGATGTGCAAATTGGTTAAAACCAAAGATTGCGTGCTTCTTGATTTTTTTCCTCTTTTATTCTTTTTGTTGTTTCTTTCAACATAACTATGGCTCATTGAAATTAATATCGATGCCATCCCTTGGAAAAGGCTTTACAAATATTTGCCACTTTTTAAAAATGTAAATATTTTTAAAATGAAGTAATATTTTCATTTGAAAAAAATGTTGCTCGTAAGGTACATTTTTAATCGAAAATTTGAAGGATTGAAATAAAATCAAATATTCAACCAATAAAAATTTGAAAGGATGAATCAAAAGAAGAAAGTAACTTTTCATTTAAAAAATGAGTCACCATAACAACACCTCCCCCTCTCTCAATTTGCTCATTCGATATTGTCAAATATAATTTTACATACGGACTAAAATATAGCGCTTGGACCAAAACACTGTCGCTCATTTTACGCGTGGACGTAAACTACTGGACGAAACAGATGCGCGGACAAAAAATCGTTGACGGAATGTCCTGAAACCATCGGATTTAAAACCTTATTTCCATGTTGCATTTTCCACCCTGGGTAATTTAAGGAGATCTCTAAATCCGAAAGCAGGGGAAAATAATTATTTCTAACTCACCAGTTCTCTTGGTTTCCGAGTTCCTAGAGCATAAAGTCTATCCGGCCTTGATCGAATAGGTATGTTGTATGCCTGACCAGAGTTCCATAGTGTCAGCGTCAATGACGATGGGCTGGATGACGGCCGAACCAAATAACAGCCATCCTCACCTGAATAGAACGTACGATTAAAAAGAGTAAACTTGCGAATTCAAGCATCATATGTCGGTAAATGAGTTGTATTTTGATCATTGAACCTTTTCGATTGGCATACACGAAACAATGGAGCAAATCAGATGAAAACTTTAAAAATTCATATTTTTATAAATACGAAGAGTAAAAGTCTAGGAAGGGCTTCAAAACTTTTCGTGAGATTTCCTTCAAGAATCACCCTTCGAACTTTAAAATGTAACAAAATGCCCATGAAAATTTCCAGTTCTAGTCAAAAACTTCACAATCAACTTCTCGGATTTCCTCCTTTCCTTACGCTGGAAGATACCACTTTTTCATGGAATCTTAAAACAGAGCGTTCACAATACGAGAAAAATTCGGAAAAACTGGAAAAACTATGTATTTTCAAATGCTCCACGAGCTCATCAGAATTCGTAACCCGCAAATAAAAGAACAAATCCTTTAAAACGAGCAAGGCTGTCAAATATGCTCGTTTCTCGGCTCAGGAAGCTCCGGCGAATCTCGGGTTAGGGCGCAATCGATTTCACGCCTCCGACAACGTAGACACGTGACACTAATCTCGAATTTCTTTTTCTCGTCCAAAATCGAGAAAAATCGACAGAGGTTATATGGACTAAATTTTCCGGGTCAAAATCGAAAGTTCTAAGATCGGGCCCAAAGCGAGCTAGTTCCCTCGGATATGGACGTATTTATGCTAAATGGAACTATGAGCGATGATGCTTTTCGGCCATTTCTTGCGAATATTTTATCGAACCATCCCCAATACCCTTCCCTGATCCAAAAATGTCTGTAACTACAGACATTTTTTAGTAAAAAAACTGTTTTAATAAAAAAAAGGTCCTTTGCCGAGCAGATATATGTTGTTGTTTTCTAGTTTCTACTAACGCATGCCGATACAATTACAAGAGTGCCGAATACGTTCAAATGATCCTTTGAGTCAGATTTTCCGGTTGGAAAAGCTCCACGAGCTCATCGGAGCCTAAAATCATCGGATACATGGATGCGTGGAAGAGGACAAGGGGAAAATGACGCGATCCTTTCGAATGAAACGAGTGGTTGTCATAGACTAAGAGGGAAAATGATTGACTAACTTCAGGGTACTCGGGTTTAATTTTAGGGTTGCTTTTATTTAGTCTATCGCCGAGGCCCTTTTTTAAATACGACCACTCACCTCCACCAATAGGATCGCTCCATTTACCCGCCCTCTTCCATGTCTATTGCCGAGTCTATCAATTTCAGCGATCACCCTGCTGTACGCATGACCAGCGTCCAGCGTTCTCGGTCGGCCACGCTAAGCCTCCTATTTTCTTTGCTTTGCGTTTGAGTCTCCAAGAAATACTACTTCCAAGTGAAGCATAGAGCGTCTGTATACATCCCGTAGGCGCTATTTCTTAGTACCTGTTCGCTCTTAAACGAGCATACCTTTTTTTCTACGAAATACCTCTGCGGGCTGATTATTGAAATTGGTAGACAAAACTATAGACAGTGGGGACACAGGGAGAATGTAGCGATCCTATCGGTGGAAGCGGGTGGTCGCAATGGACAAATAAGGAGCAAGAAAGAAAACTAGGTAACGGCAACCCACTGCCACCAAAAAGATTTCTCCATTCTCTTTTTGTCTTTTTGTCTAATGCTTCGTAAATCAATTTCAGTAATTAGCCCGCTGCCAGGGTGGTTAATAAAGGAAACAGTTATCTACAATGAGGCTTTATTTTCTGTCGAGCTACAAAATGTGAAAGGGCGAACGGTTTTTTTTTCCACACAAAAATGTTTCGAGTACTGCAAAGAATAGGATAGAGGCAAGACATCTTTTTTACAAGGTTGTAGTGTAGTTTTCCTCAGGTTCCGTTATCAGACACCACTCAAAATTTCGTTTCAAACTGGTCCCACTTCATCATTTTCAAAACGATGTTACTTTGCCGTTTAGGGTTAAAAAAAACCCAAAACATTCTCAGAAGTTTCCTCCATTCTCTCAAAAAATGAATTAAAAAAAAAAAAAAAAAAAAAAAAAAAAAAAAAAAAAAAAAAAAAAAAAAAAAAAAAAAAAAAAAAAAAATGGGTGCCACAAACGCATTCTCACTTTTTGCGCCTGTTCAATTTTTTAGACTGCATCATTTCTTTGATTAGATTTGTCAGGAGCTCTAACCCGAAAACGAGACAACTCGAAAATAACCCGATCAAGAGACCCAAGAACGCAGCCTGTAGGTCCACCATGCTGAAAGCCCTGGGAAGATCCACTGCCACCTCGAATCCCGGTACAAGATTGCGACTGGGGGCCGCAAAAGTGTCCATCATCCTCTGTATCGCGCCGCTCTCCACAAGCGAAGTGAGGATACTGTTCAACTCGTCGAAATACGGGGTGTTCTTCAGGACCCGGTACATGAGCGGGTAGGTCAAGATACATTCCTTGGTCTGATAGACCTGCACAGGCTTGTCCATCCAGTCAGTTTGTAGTAATAGGTATCTCAGGGACGCAAATTCCTGCGGGACGCTCAATAGAAATGCGCTGGTCTCGACTGTAGAGCGTAAATTTTTCTGAGCCGCGATTAGCTTTTGGGCAAGAACCATTTCAAAGGAATTGTACGTCATTGTGCCGTTCATTTCAAGAAACGTTTTCCCCAGCGCTAGTCCATGACGCTGAAGGCCTGTTTGAGAATCGTCCTCATTGTCACAGAGATCGTAAATAACATCCTCGTAATAATAGAAGGTGTTGGTAAATTTAGTTATTAAAGTTTCAGAGAAGTCCACATTGCGAAATAGTAAGTTGTAATCGCGCACTTGCAGAAGCAGATCCGAGCGCTCTAGCTCCTCAAGCGTTTCTATCTCTGGGTATCGGATGTATTCGCTGAGCATTGTGAACATCACACTCTGATAAACCGTCGCAATTATCAAAGTGAAGAAGGTTAGGAGGATGAAGATTATCTTGCCTGTGAAGAGCTTACCGAGCAACACGCAGGAAGGACTACCGCACATTAAATACGACCAAACTACCATGGATACTGACGTTTCCTCAAATGCAAGCAGCTCCTGATCGGTATAAAGATCGCGCAACGCTTTGTATTGTGTAAGTTGAAATAAAAACTGCAGTGTAACAAACATCGCGATCGTTATTAGAATGAGAGTCCAGAGCAGAAGTGAAAAAACTTTGAAAATTACCAAGTATTGAGGTACGCACGCACTTGGTGGTGTAACGAAACACAGAGAATTGCTTCAACGGCGATGGTGTAATAATAGTCAGAAAACTCATCAATGTTGAATGAGAATATACCATTTGCAATGAATGCGTCTATGTTGTTTTTTCGCAGGATTTCATAATCTTTTGAAGAAAACGAGGAATAATGGGATATGTTTAAGAGCTTGGAAAACACGGGCATACCATTATATTTTTTTCCAAATTCAGTCAATGCGTCGTTCAGGATAGTAACCGTGATTCGATTAAGTAAGAGTTCATCTCCTGCCCCATCTTCGTTGTGATCATATATGTATCTGAACGTCGTGAAATCTAAGTTCGGCAGCGATCCGGAAAGTAGATTCTCACCTGTCGTCACGTGATGAGAGATCAGTTTCTTGAACGGATCGTATTTGAAACACTTCCTTCTCAGGCAGATAATAGCTCTGAGACCTCTAAAGAAACGCCACATGAAGGCAAAATTTAAGTTTAACATATAGTCGATAATCCCAGGATTCGTCTCTTGACCTCCCATAGGTTCTCCGTCGAATTTTCCAACGATCATAAAAATCAGGCGATTTTTCGGATTCCAAATTCTGTGCACGTAAAGACCGCGGGTATAGGAAGAGACTTGGTCTGATAAGAAACTTTCATCCTCATAGTAATCAATATCTATTTCATTTGCAGCTGCGTTCATTTGAATATCGCAGGTTTCGTTGAGAGCCCCTTGACCTATTGGAGGCAGCGAATCCAACAAGACGCAGTAACGTGGTAACGATTTAGAGGATCCTGTGACGAAATTTGCCCCATTTTGGAGGTCTGTCGAAAATTCAAAAGGTTGAGCAGATTCGTTCGTATTGATTTTCGGGTAGGTCCCGTAAAAAGCAGTGCTCAAAATTAGACTTAAAACATCGTCCAACTTTTCCAAGAAAAACATTACATTCCTCTGTTGAGCTCCACTTGATGAGGCAACAAAATCACCGACATTATTGACTGTAGTTGTCGAAATCGAATTTTGATGCAGAGTTTCTTCGAGATGTGTGGTAGAAAAATTGTGTGATAAATTTACAATGTGAAACGATTTTTGCATTGAGAACTGAACAGTATGCTTGCACAGGTTCGCGACGAAATTGGTGAAATTTCGATCGATTTTTTCGTAACTCAACATGCCCGTCATTGCCTCTTGAGAGAGATACGTTATTAAAATTATACGGAGCAAAGAATAATTATTAGCAACACGACACTTCCGCCTTTGCAAGACGTTAGTCATTACGTATGGGTTGCTGCAATTGGTTCCAAGTGCTGAGTTCTAAGGGGAAAAGAGTGTACGCACAACAATAAAATACTCTTAATCTATGCTCATCACGAAATAACACACCGTTAGCTGTAAATTTTCTCTCGTGACTAAAATGATAAAAAATCTTTTTCAGCGGTTTTCAAGGTTTTACCCCTTCAATTTTCTAGGACAGGAAAAACGTGAGTGAAAACACGTACCTATCTCGAAACATCATTCAAGTTGCTTTCATGGTTATTTCAAGAATACGGTTTATTTATGTCTTCAATTTCCTTTTTCTCAAACTCTCGCCTATGCAATTACAAAAGCAAGTCCATGGATAGTGGGTCAGTTGCGGTAATTGCTGGATCGTGTTTTCATGAATTTAGGTCAGAAACCATCAAAAAATAACGATATGTGTTCAAACACCAAGTTTTCACGTCCAATATGAACGGAAATATTTCCTTTCAAAAATACACAGCGTATAACTTCAGCGTATATGGCGTTGACAGGTGAAATAATTATTGAATGCAGAAA